GGGGCGGGGCAGTACTGAAACACCGTCTAAGCTGTTCGCCAATCACAACGCACTGGGACAGCTAACCAATCACATCACATTTCATTTTTCGGAAGACGGGCCTTCATCAAACCCGGAACTAATCAAACCGTTTGTGCTAGGTTGGCGAGAAAGGTATTGTAATAATGTAAATTATGTAAAAAAAAATGTGTTTTCCGAACCACCAAGCATGAGAGCATGTTCTAGTACACCCCCAAAACAAATTCAAGATATTGTAAAAGAGCATAATAGGACCCCTTTAAATACATAAAAAATATACAACCAGACACATTGTGATTAGGGATATGCCGGTATCAAATTTTCATGTTGCGATTATTAAAGTGCAAAAGAAGTATAAAGACCAATAGGTATCACTTTACAATAAGACCTCATTAGTTAACCTTAGTTAATGCATTAACATTCACAATGAGCAATTTATTAGTTATTAAGTCTTAGTTCATGTTAGCTCATTAAATAACACAGTTGCAACTTTCGATTTTAACAACCTGTTATTAAATATTGGAATAGGCTACCTAAGATTAATGAATGTTCAGAAGAATTTTTCACTGGCAGTTTATGTTAACTAATGAATTAACTAATGTTAACTAATGAAGCCCTAATGTAAAGTGTGACCGAACAATAAAGAATCAAAACAGTTTCAAACAATATCTAGGGCATGTTGTAGTCCAGATTAAAATGTAAAAAAAGTTTGAAAATAAATAGCCTATAAAGTCTAAATATTTAAGTATTTGGTGCTGTGATGAACATCATAGCAAATACACAAATCCGAATACCGGCACAAGTCTAATTGTGATAATGAAAAAAGTTACAATAGCACATTCCTTTATTCAATACACACACACACACACACTCACATATGCATGTGTGTGTATAGATAGATACTACAGATTTTGATTTGTGGATTTTATTCTTGCATTTTCTGAGATTGTATCCACAAAGAACTGATTTCATTCAGAGCTAAAAGTATTTATTGGCCTTCACAGGTGCTTGAATAGTTCCTTTAACCTTCTTTCCTTGAACAAAACCTGAAAGCAGACGCCTTCAAATAGTATGATAGGCCAAGAGAAGATGGGACTCAAAGGCCTGTACATATGACAGTTTTCTGCATATCTATGATACAGTGTCATTTAAGTTCCTAATTGTACAACCAAAATAAACCATCTTCGGTCCATAAAATAAGGTGCTTTATAGCAACCCAGCGGTATTTTCCATCATGAAGTAGGTCATGCGACAGGTGAGAGGGACTGTTTGTTTGCTGGCGGTCGGTGGCCATCTTTTCCACGTAATTAGATGGCTTCTATTCCAGACATGCAGCTGGCCTTCACAGAGGCCGCCTGTGTCTCTGTGTTGATGTGGACCTACTGTATCTTCACCGTGACCCAAAACGGGACTCAGAGCTTCCTGTGTTGAGAGACTTGTCTGGTCTCCTGGAGAGAGAGAGAGAGAGAGAGAGAGAGAGAGAGAGAGAGAGAGAGAGAGAGAGAGAGAGAGAGAGAGAGAGAGAGAGAGAGAGAGAGAGAGAGAGAGAGAGAGAGAGAGAGAGAGAGAGAGAGAGAGAGAGAGAGAGAGAGAGAGAGAACGAGCGAGCGAGAGAGAGTGCTGTAAATCTGGAAATGTTGAGGAAAGTTTGGGAAACACCTCAGTCGACGCCCTGCAAGTTTGATTCACACAGCTGTGTCATAAATGTGGCATGAAAAGCATCACGCCACTTCATGTCACCTCTCGACATGTGCATGCCATTTCGTAGCAGTAAAAACAGCTCGGCTGAAATCACATCAATGCATATCGTCTTCGAAATTTTCGTAAACCATGTCTGAGGTTATTTCCTTTACGCATGTGATGTTTATACACCCTGTTTTGTAAAAGCCAATGTGTGTTGCCCAATTATATCTGAGGAAATTAAAAAACACATCTGCAATTCAACAGGTGCCTCTTGGCATCCAGCATGTTCCATGTCTGGAAAACATCTGCATAGGTGGTCTCTTTCTCTCCCTTTCGTTCCCCAAACTCCTGCTTTTTCTTCTTCTCTCTAGGGTCAGAGTGAAGGGAAGGCTGATTGTAAATACGGTGAGGACCTCAGAGCCAGAGAAACAGCCGTATATTTTGGGAGAAGAGAGGCTGGCTTTTACCAGAACATATATTTAATCGCACAATGCCAGCATGGATAGGCCAGAGTTGCACAGCTGCTCCTCTAATTTGTTTAAGCATGTACAACAAATAGGCCGTCCCACACAAGCCAAAAAAAAAA